TTTTTTTTTTTTCTTCTTTTTAGAGCGCCATATCGGTAAGAATAAACAAGTTTCGTTGGGAGAATTTCCAACGAGTTGATTAAATCCGTCATTGGAAACAACACCTTGCCAATCGTTCTCCAAGTCATTTTATTATTGACAAGTTTATTACGATCATGTTTAGAAATGGATTTCTGATGAACATTCTGACACGTCGATTCTGTCACTGCATAGTGATCCATAGGAAATTCAGATCTAAAATTATCCCAGTGTCCTTCGCGCATGTTAAAAACGCGATACTTTGATAATTCAATTTCAATGTTTCACTGCTTGAAATGAACTATCAAAAACGACAGATACATAGTTATTTTACTACTTAATTGTCTGAATGTCATAGTTGTTAACTCTTTGCTTACAATGAGAACAAAAGAACAAAATAAGATTTACGTAATTATTATCAAGCGTAATATTTTAATATTCTTCGTATCCTTGAAATTATAAAAATCCAAAGTCAAACAAACTGCTCTGCCGCGTTCTTCTCCAATTACCATCACACGGTAATAATAAAATTTATTAGCCCTCGAATATGTAAGAAATGCATCGTGCATTCGAATACTTATGGCCAAGCTTGTGCATACAGAAAATCTCGAAAAGGAAAAATCACAAAGACGATATGTCCGTCTCGTCGACTGTGAACAATTCTCGACAAGAAACGATTCATGTTCGTTGATCACAGGATCGTATCTTTCTAAACCAAGGCAATAAACTTCGTGATTAACGGAACAGCCGGTACGATCGAATTTACATGTTATCGCGTTAACGTTGCGAGCCGTCGATTCGCTGTTAATATGTCGAGCAACAATTACCCCGAGCTACATCATCGGGCAACAATTAATAACCGGATGATCGATACAATTTAGCGTGCCGGAAGTGTCTATTAATTCAAGCGAGTTCCTCCGCGACGAATCTAGGTCGTCGTAGGAGCGTATAATCCAGCCTGTGTTCGTGTTCAATTTTTCGTCCCGTCGATACGATTACACAGGCTGTGTTTTAAAACCATCATCGGGATCAGTGGCAGTGGCTAATGAGCTTGCCGGGTGAGAAATCATCCGTGAAGGATGGAAGAAAACGCGCGATACAGCGACGTGTGTGTACAGCGTGAACAAAAAGGGCGGCATCGTGAAAAATACCGAGGGTCTGATGAAACCGTACGGAAGAATGGAGAGGTTTCGCTCGACTATAACTACTTGTGGCAGTACCCTGTTGCTGGGAGGTGTTACTGTATCGATCACTGAAAGCGCGTGTTACTAACACGCGCGCACGGGTGTTCCGGGCAGCTTTTAAGACGTTTCGAAGCCAGCATATTCGACAGCGAATAATCGTCGAAAATGGAATCCTCTCGGCTTTGCCACTTTGCCACGCGTGTGTACGCCGCTTCACGCTTTGCGTTTAAAATCGGTTTTTTTTTCACGTCGCGTCGCGGTACCGTTTTCGAATAACGTTCCCA